TATTGAATAATTATATTTTTCAAGGTAAGTTTAAATTGAATATTTTTATTATAATTCTCGTTAATAATACAAACTTTATAGACTGTTCTACAAAATCAAGAAGGGCATATAAAAAATAATATTCTGCAAAAATTAGATTCGCATTGAGAAATAAAATCGAACATACATATATAGTTTTGCAGAAATTTTATTCTGATATCTTTAAAGAATTTTATGTTTAAATAAGAAAACTTAAAAAAATATATTTATACAGATAACTGATATATTTAAAACTATTAAAAAAGTATGTCTGGTAAGAAGCACTCTTAATTAATTGTAGTGTATTGTAAAGAAATCTATTTATTCATGAATGATGCGGAAGAATATCCCGTGCTCCTCGAATGAGATTATTCGTACAAATAACACAGTCGTATCTGCTAGATATTTATCACGTCCATACGCAAAAATAGTGCGTGGTATTAATACATACATATACATGCATAGAAATATATATACATATATATGTATGTATTATACATATATCATGAAGACTATTATCACCCCTCAAGATAGATGAGCGTAGAACGACGATTCGCATTCGCGCGCACAGATTAAACCGAAACACATAAGTCGTCGTGATCGGTTCGATCAAATAGGGAAGTACGAAATTAATTGTGGATTGTCAGCTGATTCTTTTTGAACTATGTTCTCTGTGTCTTCGTCTTGCGTTTTTTAAAATACCGCTCTCTTTTGCAATTACAGGATAAGTCTTATTTAATAACTACCGCGCGTTGCTTATTCTCGTTACACATTGACAACTATAAAAACGTGTTTTTTCTCAGATTTGCGTTAAAGCTGATCAATCGTAAATGTGCGTGATGCAAAAAAAATCTGCAAAATTACGTATTAATTAGAACAATAAAAAAAGGAGTATACAAAATAGTTATATAAAAAATTTGATGAAGCAAAGCTCAAAATACAAATATATCACATACTAACGTGCTTTCTGTTTTACATTTCTGGATTACCCAAATTTTAAAAAGCACCATTTTAACACTTTAAATAGTTATTTAAATAAAGTCGATAACTTAAATGTTTGTAATTTTTTAAATATTTTTTAAATACTCTTTGTAATAATATTAAAATAATTTAAATTGTTAGCTCTATCTTTATAATCACTTATTAAATTTATTTATTCAGGCAACTAAATAGCTTTCTTGTTATGCTAATTTTTTCTTAATAGACTTGTATAGATTTTATAAAAAGAAAACTTATTATATAATAAATTATAATATATTCCTATATTTAAAAAGAATTTTGTTTTTCTGAGAGAGATGCAGCAAAATTTTTCCTGCACTAATCTTGGCGAATATTTCACATCAAAATCATTAAAATAAGAAATAAAAAAGAACATATTGTGCTATTTTTAGATATAAACGAGTTTGTGTGTATGTATCTATGTGTGTGATGTATTTGTAATTATAATCTAGAATGGTTAGAACGAATGGAAAAATACGACTTTTGTTGTTAGATTGAAAAGATCTATTCTGTGTCTTTGATTAAATTGTAATAAATCTCAAATTCTTTTTTAATTATACAAAAGCAAGACATCGCGAATTTTTCCAACAACAAATGAGCATATAATTAAAGTTTAATAAAAATAGATAAATCCTATCTATAAACAAAATCTTATCATAGATATTAAAAATGCATAACATTTTTTTCACTGCTGTGTGATAAATCTTAGAGAGATTTGTCGATTTTCTCTTTGACAAAGATTTATTCTATATAATATAGTCATAATTCTATTGAGTAACATTCTAGTGTATCTAAAAATTTATAAAATTTGTATGTATTAATTTTTCACTCGAAAAGAAAACGTAATTTTTAATTTGAATTTTAGCCTAACTCACGTCATGAAAAATAAAGAATTTATAAATTAACATAAGCATGACACAGGTGCATAAGTTGACATTCTTGTTTAAACAATATTAAAAAATTGGACGTCAATTCCTATAAGTAAAATTTAACCGAACGTTACACATAAGTGAATTTAACATTTTTTGAATTGCTATTTGTTCTTTTAGTGTCCAGTTATCGTTTACATTTGTCTCATGGAAATACATTTTCATGTCCATGATATTATTGAAGCGATATTCGGAAAGAGAGCCAACGAAAAATAATTAAAATAAAATATTAAATATATATATATGAAACGCGATTATATTATTTTATCTGGTCTTATTGCTCCGATAACGTCGAGAAAATAAATGTTTTACGAGGAAATACATTTCTGTTCATTTTCCTCGTTTATTCTCTCTTACTTTTACTCAGGAACGCAAATGCGAGGAAACCGCGCACGAATTCTTTGGTTTGTCGATCTATTAATATGACCGAGCGCTTAATTCTACTGTTACCAATATTTCAGTATAAAATATACACTTAGGACTAAATATATCATATATACATGAGCGACGAAGGAGAACATTGACATCGAAATTGACGTAGCATACAAGTGGGACGTTATTCTTATCTTCGCTGGAACAGACGTACAGTGTGTCACTGTGTGTTCAGTTATTATATTCGAATGCTCTTTCTTTTTCTTTCTTTTTCTCTCCTCACTTAAACATAATTCCATTATCGGGCAGTAGCGCGATTTGTTGTGAATGAGTATATCCGTGATGAAAGATTCATTGCGATTTTGACGCAAAAAAATAGATGGGTTAATATGAATTAAAAAAAAGAAAGATGAAATTCATATTTTTTAATCTCAATTTTTAAAAAATATTAAATTTAAAAAAAGAGGATTAAATTTTTGCTTTTAATTGTCCATACGCAATTTTGTTTGGTGATACAATGTGCATACATACCGTATGGACGTCAATTCATCCGTGTACACTTTGCACTTTCTCTCTTTTTCCTCCCCGTTTCGTTCTTCGTCCCATACTCGCATTTTTAATCCCTGTATATCTCGCTCTTTCTCACCATTTCTCCCTTTGCAATACAATTTTTTCACGGTCGCGAATATGGGCGAATTGAGATTGAGAAGTACGAGAATGATTACGTGAATGATATCGGAGCTAACGAGTATCAAATTATTAACGATAATATCTCTTAACACTGATTAGATTATCGATTATAAATTACGACTATTTTTAATATCGTGTTATCAATATTAGTATCAATATTAGTATCAATATTAGTATCAATATTAGTATCAATATTAGTATCAATATTAGTATCAATATTATGCTAAATCAATCGAGCGTCACAACCGGGCCGATGTAAATGCAAAATTATATTTCTTTTTTGTATATGCAAAAATCTTTATAAGATGTATACTTGCGAAGAAATTCGAATTTTTTTCTTTTTTAATTTGCCGTTCTATAAATACACGGCCTCAGAATAGAAAAACAACATTGAAACACACTATATATTACTTCAACGAGAGAATTTCATGTCACGATAATATCAAAAAATAAATAATTACAGATCTAATGTAAATTAAAAAAATGAATCTTCTGAACAAAGAAAAATCTTTTTCGTCCCGGCCGAAACGCGATGATTTTTTTTCGTGGGCAAAAAAATAGGAAGCTTTGGCTTATCTAGATCCTAATACTAGGTACATTACATACATCTCTCCGTTACAAATAATCGTTTCTCTCTATAATAAATCACCACAGCGATGACGATGATGATAGTCGTCGCAGCAGTGATTAATTATCATAATCGATATGTTGGCTGCCGCGATATTTAATGCTGTGATTAGTTTCCTCCCTTCGCGAGAATGGACGATTATTTATTTATTAAACGCGATCTGATGCGTGCAATTGTAAGCCGTCTCGTGACGCGAGAATTTTTTGTATAAAAAAAATAGCAACCTTATTTATTGCAAATTGTACGAATGGGACGAAGGAGAGGCGGAACTTATCGCCGCGTGTTTTTCGCGTAAAGAATACAAATTCGCACGAACTTACACGATATATGCTTCTATATCGAATCTCCTAAACGACTACGTACCAGTCTTGGGCGTCTTCGAGTAAACGATACTAACGGCGCAGAATATCTAAACTATCACTTTATGTGTAATTAAGCTTTCTTTCGAATAACACAAATGTTCGAAAGACATGTTTACAAAAGGCATTTAAAAGACGTCCGATACAGATCAAGGCATCTCCTAGATAACTTTTAAATTGTATTTAGGTATATGAAAAATAACTCATATTTTTTTACGGTAATTTAAAGTTGCGCTACTTATAAGGTGACAGTTTTAGTATTCTATGTATAGAGTAATTACTGACCACTGTAAATACTGACTGCGATTATTGATCACTTGCATTTATGAATTTTCATTTAGCGAAAATTTTTATTTACTTTCAGTACTCGCGGTACAGTTTTTTTCCTTTGAGCTTTTAAAATTTTAATATAAAATTTTAGTGTAACTTTTAATTGCAAAATCCGTTTTACAGATTTTTTATTTTAAATTGTTTATGCGAAAGTCGTAAACAAAATTAAACTTTCTTGTTTATCACATATAATTAAATATAATTATTAACAAGATCTCGATTACTTCAATTATTTCAGAAAATAATTAGGAATAAATATTTCTCAAGTGGACAATAATCTGCGTCGTTTTCCTAAGTATATCCGTAAATGCCCAACACCGTTATACCGTAAAGTAGCGTAAAATTGATCAATCTTGACCAAAGTTTATCACGTCTCGTTTGCTCTAATTAAAACGACACAAGACAGCAGTTTGGCCAGTTGCCACTGATTCTGGCCGTGTAGCGCCAACTTATCTTCGTCAACAACTCTCTGTTCATTGACAACAGATTAAGAAAAGTGATTGACTTTGGCAGACTGATTCGCTGTATTTCACGATAGCGCTTATTAGCTTTGCTACAAACTAAAGCTATTGCTCGTTTCTTCACTTTAACACGCATCGATAGGAGGACGACAATGTTACATGTCATTTTTCTTTTTCTCTTCTATATTCGCGTATCACAAGCTCAGTATTCGGATCTTCCGCTCATTGCTTCACATCTTTTTTGTTTTTTCTTTTTTTTTTAATTAAATGCGAAATCGTATATAATTACCACAATTGTTAAACGGGCAGATCGCGGATGATTGTCGCAATAATCGTTAATCCGTCGAGAAAACATACCGAAATCATACCGGGACGACAATCACGCCGTGATCGATGCTAAATCGCGGCGATGCAACACGCGACGTGGTTGATCTTCATCAAATTGACGTTGCATCGGCGAAGGCGGCGACATTCGCGCGATGCAGATGCGTTGCGTATCGATGCAAATCGCTGCTGGCAACATACAATCAGGGACAACAATGAGTGGACACTCGAGCCTATTATAATTTCCTAATTTATAATCGACGATCCTGTTTTACAGAGATGGCAAAGCATTGAATATCAATAAATGTATGCGCGTACAAATTTATCACATACAACGTGTCTCGAGAACTCTAAACACTATACTATTTAACTAGTCTTTTTTTATCCATGCTCTTTATTCTTCATATATTACATCCATCTTTCTATCACATCATCTAGTGTCTTGATATGACTTCACATACTTTTTATATGAAAATATCTTTTTAAAACTATATGACTAAAATTGAACAAGAGCAGTTGAAGGAGTTATCATTGTATTTTTTTATATATGATAAAAAATAATACATTATTTTTTTCAGTTTTGCTTTTCTATTTTTTTGTATAGATTGCCATTTTTTCGCGATGTTGAGACATATTTGTACATGTGTGAAACAATTGTTTATGGATATGTTTATTCGTATAATCGTTTTTACAAGAAAAAATATGAAGAAAGAGCGCTCTGATCTTTATTCGTATCAGCATCCACACAATCTTGTCTCTGAATGTACACACACCGAAGTATCAACGCGTGTAGAAAGTAGGAAATCTTTTCTTGAAAAATACTGTTCTCATTTGTCGCGCTTGCGGAAGGTAAAAGTGTGAGCTGTCGCTTGCGGAAGGTAAAAGTGTGAGCTGCATCACAAAAGTCCGCAAGTACGAAAAAATTCACGGACACTCGCAAGAATCCGAGTCGTCGGCGGTCGCGCTTTTAAAAATACACGACGCGAAAAATGGAGAGTGCACATTGTTAGAAGAAAAAAAGAAATTATGTACTTCATAGAGGAATTTTTGAAATTTGACCTCTCGGGCTAAGAATCGAATACATCTCGATAAGTTAACCCTCGGATCAGTTTTTTTCGCCCTTTGATCGTTGATCATCGGCGTTATGTATGTGTATATGTGTGTGTATGCGTGTATTCTCGTGTTTGTTCATGCATATGTATGCATATGTATGTATATATGTATGTGTATATTATATTCATGTGTATTTACGTGCGTTTACGCATAGCTTCGTTCTGCGCGGTTCGCTTAAGTATAAATCTGTAGCAGTATCAAAATGGTAAAAATAGTGCATATGAAGACCATGAGCACAGGTAAGATCAAGATGAATCTGACTGAGCGGCTGAGGCCGCTTGGCTCCTGTCATACGGCCTGCTCGCCCGATTCGGTGGAGGCATCAAAGAGCGGCCGATCCGCCGGCGTCTCGTTCGACGTCGTCGACGTCGTGCCAGCACCACCACCCCCGTTCCCGGTGCTACCCTCTCGTCTGGTCTTGCTCGAGCCTGAGAAACACAGACAGCCAGACTGGTTACGATTCCGCTTCAACGTCGGCTTGTTCTCACGATCCTGCTCTGCCAGACACTTCTGGTAGTAATCGTAGTCTTTCAAATACCTGTCGAAGACACATCGCTATTAATATCAAAATCGGGAATTAAACGAGAGCGATCTTATATGTACATCACGAAAAAAATAAGTACTCTGAACATATAGCATTATTCTGCTCTTTCGCGGTATCATGAAAAGAAAATTTTGATATACGAAGAGAATTTTCTCTTAGAATTTATTTTGAAAATCATGGTAATCGTGGGACAATATATGGTATTGGAAGAATTTTATAAGAGTTTCTCTGATTAATATTTACCACAACAAAAAATATAAATATGTACATATAATAAAATTAATCGAATATATTTTATATCTTATTGTGGTAGATATTAATATTTTTTATTGTGAGGTAAAAATATTAATCAGAGAAATTCTTATAAAATTTTTCCAATACCGCATATTGTCCCACAATGACCATGATTTTCAAGGTAAATAAAAACAATTCTCTGTGTATAAAATCCTAATTTTGATGTTATTATAATGAGATAAATTTTCTTAAATAAAAATTAATCATAATCGATTGAAATAAATTTCATGAAAAAATTATAACATTTTCGTAACACGTACCAAACTGGCGGCCATCGGTGCTCGTTCAGATACTCTTGGTTCTCGGGATGAAGCAGCCGCACACTGCGAGGCGACATTTTACATAACTTATTATAGTTAACGCAGAGATGATTCATGCACCAGTCGGCCAGCTGATCGGCATTGTGTAGCTGTAAAGGCATAACCAAGCGTTAAATAAGTAATCGCTGTATTATCGCGTCTTAATTGATGTGAAGGAAACCGACCTTGCACGGCTCCAACAATCTCAGGCAGTTTTCGACGGCGTCGTTTCCCTCGTTTTGCGAAAGACGATCAAGATCTTCAATCACCCTGCTCTCGACTAGATTTACTAATCGTTGAAGGCAGAGTCTGTTGGCTAGTTCCAATAGGTTCAGGCATCTGGCCGAAGAAATTGCCGGCACTTCATCCGTATAAAGGTAGCACAGCAACTTGTGGAATGTATACTCCCTTACTCCAGGAAAGACTATCTATTAATTGCAATCGCAAGAATCCGTTATAATTATTTGTAATCCATAATATCTATAGCCATATGATTTATATACTTATATAAATTGACATTTTGTTAAGACTTTATTATGTATCAGAAAGTGAATTAATATTTAAAAAATGTGAATTTCGCGTTGTTTGCGTAATTTGCGTTGAATCGTTGCAGAAGTACAATCGATTACACAGTTAAATGTCGAGTTAATTTTAAAATATCGGCTTTAATGAATTATATTACGCGGATTATACTTACGACTTTTGCGCTGCTTTCGCGAAAATCGCCAGAGAACATGGCTTTCATCACGTCGCATCGGGCAGTGAGAATCGCTTTGTGGGCCGGTACGCTGCCATCATCCAACTCGAACATCACATCAGCGAAGAGACCTGAACGTATTTACATTTATTGAAGGCGATTGAAGGCAATAATTGCTTCAATGCTTATTAAATCGATACCAACCTTGCTCCAGGCAGATGTCCTCCAGTCGTTGTCTAACCACTTGCTTGTACCGATTATTGAGATCGCTATTGACAAACTGCTCTCGCGTCTGTATGCTGCCGAGCACCATGAGTAACTGTGGTAGCTCGAGGAACTCGGCCGCCTGCCTAATCTCCTGCGGGTGAGAGAAACCGAAACGTCATATCGATGCGCCATCGTGATTTTCATCAACGTAGAATGATCGAAAAAAGAAAGAAAGAAGAAAAAAAGAAGATACGATATCTGATCTCGCTTTCGGGTCGCTAGAGAAACCTATCCTATTAGGCAATGATTCTAGAATGTCTGTGATAACAATCGGAAGCGTATCCATGCACCTCTATAATCGGCCGAGGTCGATCGCATGTCGATTCTTCGAGGATCCTCCCCGCTCGATGATGTCGAGGGCGATGGTCGGTACGATACTACAATAGCGATGATTCACGAACTAGAAGCTTAATGAGCATGGCCTGTTAGCTAAACGCCGAAGATCGATGCAAATTGCAACGATAATGTTATTAGACAAACGAAAACAAGAGCGTTCTCGAGATACATAAGCAATTTTTACAGGCCTCTTTATTGATATTTATTTATCTCGTAATTATATGTAATAAGTAATTTTGGTTTTTTATTTAATCTTTTACTTTTTGCTCTTAACGAAAAATTAATTTTCGATAATGCGTCAAATTTGTTCTATAATTTGAAAAGTCATAATTATAGAAAGGCGCATGCTCGTATGATGTGATATATGATCTCGCAATTAAATCTTTCTCAAAGTCGAAACAAATTAGCTAGATGAGGCTACTATATGTGCGTGCGTGCGTGCGCATGTAACGTGTACGTATGTTTCTGATGCGAACTGTCAAATTTTCAAACGCAATTTCAAACGCTTTGTACTAACCAGTAGAAGCCCGATAGGAGCTGTCTGAAAGAATAGATCCGCGTTAGTTACTGTATACTTTGCAACAGTTGCGATGTTAGCTCACACACTCTTAAAAGAAGCTCATACAAACTGTGATTTATTACAAACGCGATATGTCAGGAGGACTCGCAGTTGACCGCTATATTTCTTATGATTTCAAACTAAAATTCACACAATAAAATAATATCTTTTTCAAAAATTAATATACCTAACGTAAATAATATACGCACAAGAGAGAGAGAGTTTGCACAACCGAAGAGAGCGCAATTATTCGATCGAGTTTTACCTATCGTAAGCCTACGAGCTAAATTACGTTTTCCATTCAATTTTCATATCCAGAAGATTAGACTTCTGTTCCGTTTTCTCAAAATACGCGCACGTCTACCGTAGCAAAAATGAACGGAGGGAGTTCTTCTCACATTCTCGAGTGTACCTTTTTTTCTTTTAGGATAATTTTTACCGATCCAACGTACTTGTAGATCGTGATACCGTTTATCCAAGCTGCCCGTATAAATGAATTGCAAACACTGCTGCATTGCCTGCGGCGTGATCAGCTTCGACAGCGTAACCACGGTCATAGGTTGCTGCACTCCGTTCGCGTTTTCAGTCTGCAAAAAAATGTTCGTGACAATTATGAGATCGCGACTTTTCGCGCGTAGGTTCTCGCGATCAAGATTCTCACCAGACATATACGAATATTTTGGAAGGCAGGATGATTCAGATCTTTCGTCGCGCCGTTAGCTTTCCTCTGATTATCCACCGTCGGCAGTACTTGAAAACTCGATCGTCGTTTAAGTTGTTCCCAAACTCTGCAACGTATTTACTCATTGTGCGAGAAGCTCATGTTTCGTAAAATGCAATACAAACTTTTTATTACGGAAATATTGTAAACTCTGTTCCGTCGCTACTTATAATGTGGAATATGTCGACACTGCATGAAAGACCGTGCAAAGGCTAAGGAAAGGGGGCTGCATCTAACTCTTTATTTGGCAATAGTGCTTTCAAGCATGATATGTCAGTGTGTAATATTTTTATATGTGATGATAGCATGTTTGTTAATTATGTTTATTCTTCCTATCATTAGCATTAAGCTCAAGCAACGTTTAATGTGTTAATGCGTTAGTTGCCGCAAGATTATAGACTTGTTTTTTAGTCACGTATTAGCTGCGACTTGCCAAATAAAGGGTTAACTGACGCAGGAATCAAACATACGAGGAAGGATTAACTCACTTTGCGGGTTTGCTTTGATCGATACGAATTAGGCACTCGGTATCTTCGTTGAAGTCACCGACGGTGGCCTCGCCGAAAGTGCTCACCTTGACGAGACAATAAGGGAAACATGTGTTATTGTGTTATCCTGTTTACTACCTCCGAACCTGATAGAGCTGGCATATACCATGCTGGACTCGCTGGAGCTGCGCGGTGTCAGTTCATGGGAGAGTTCCATCGAGAACAACCGATGAAACGCCGGCGACGCCGCGGCGAGCAAGCACCGATGAGCCAAGAACGTGCAGTTGCTAGCTATCAGAGTCACGTCCGTGTGAACTGGTCTTGTCCACAGGCTCTTCATGTTCTCCTCATAGGTACTCGCAGCCAGGCATACCTCCGGCGGTACAGGTTTCGGTGGACAAAACGGCGCCTGTCAAGCAAAATCATCACATAATTTGTCATAGTCTAAAAAAACGTGACTCGAGCATTAATTAAACTTAAAGTCCGAAACAACCAATTTTTAATTTTATATATTTACTTGTTAGACGACATTAAAGGTGCGAAAGATTTTTTATCTCTGTTTTTTGAAGATAAATTTATTGTAAAATAGAGATATTTAATTATTTATATATTGTATATATATATATATATATATATATATATCAGTTACCTGTAACAAAGGTCTTTGCACCCTCTTCAGGTTCGTCATCCAGAAACGCTGCTGACGACGTGCGATCAAGGCAGCGCGTATTGAATTTTCGAACACTTCGTTCACACCATAATAAGTGAAGACGCTCGTCTCGTAATAGCAAACGCCGAGTTCTCGCGCTACCGCCCGTGCTTGATCTGGCATTACCAGATCGCTCTTTCTTGTAGCCCTATGAATAATTATTAATATTTTGTAAATTTGCAATTACATATTCATTAGTCGTGATATATTCAATAACATGATAATGAAAATGAAAATAATCGATAAAATTAAAATATGAAATGAAATTATTCCGACCTTATGTATATACTAGAGGAAGTGTGACTTGTTAAAAGTCACATGAAACTTGAAATCTTTCTCCCGAGGGAGTAATCATCATATGTCAAGGTTTGGTTAATTTTAGATCGACCCGATTACACGACGACTTATCGGGAATTTAAGCTTTTCACAATCGATCGCAGTGTCATCATAAATTTCATATGCCACGATAAATTTCATATGTCGCATAAGCCGATCATAATGAATACTTTTTGCCAGTAAAAAATTTCGAGGAAGCTTACGAAGAGATTCACTGAGATCAATACTTTGACACAATTCAGTAAACTGACCATCGTTGAAGGAGCACCGATGCGATTGAATGAGTTTCACACACGAGATTAAAAAAATCAACTTTGAACATGAGTTTCGTTTTATAACCAAAAAAGCAAACTAATCGATTAGAATAATTAAATGGTACATGTGCTTGGATCGGATTTCTAAAAATTACTTTTATATATTTTATAGAGCAATCAATTTTGTTTATATTGAAATTTATTCTCTGTCAATGAAATTAAATTATTAAACTTAAAAAGTGTGTGTAGTTAAATATGAAAATTAAATAATTGTTGATTGTCTGTACATAACTCAATAGTTATTGTTAAATAATCGTGATTATTGTACACCGAATAATTTTGACGCACAGTATACATCCAGAATAGTTTTTATCTTTTGACAATTTGTAAAATTTATTTGTTCTAACTTGGACAAACGATTGCGTCTGTATATTGCGACTGAAGAAGTCTTAAGTAAAAGTACGAAACGTTCCGCATCTAATAAATGTTACATTTTATATTTTGTTTTTTTTATTTTATTTTATTCTAACTTTGTTGCTCGAATAAAGGTCTAATAAAAACTAAATCTTATATTTTTAACTATCAAGCTTGTCAATTAATTTTTAATTTTAAAATCATTGTTCCTATATATGTATATCAAAAAATTAAATTGTGTGATTCTCAATATGTTTAGAAAAAAAAGAAAATAGAAAATAAAATTTAATGTTAAAAGATTTGAAAAAAGCTTTAAAAATTAAAAATTTTTTAAATGTAAATGTAAATTTTTAAATGTTTAACAAATGTAAAATTTTTTAATTCTTGAAAAAATTTCTTCATTATATATTCTTTCAAATCCTCTCTAATTTAAAAATTTTTCTCTCTTTAAATTAAAAATTTGTTGAAGAAAATAATTTACCTTACAAAAGGACTGCGATCGCGGAAGTAGCTGAGATAAGTCTCGTCCCGGTACATGTACCGCAGATCGTTTTTGCATCCGACCAATAAGACCGGAGTTTGCGGACAGAACCTTCTTATCTCGGGGTACCACATCACCTTGCAGTTTCGCAAGGAAACGGGATTGGTTATGGAGAAACATAGTAACACGACGTCAGACCTAACAATATTTTTTTTATTAATACCCATTCGCGTAAAATTGCGCTCAATGATGACCTTACCTGCCGTATGCGAAACGTCGATCCTTCTCGTGATCGCCAAATGTGTCCCAAAGACGTAGCGACACGTTTACATTGTCTACTACCTCCCAAGATCGCTCCAACACCTGGCACGTAGCATACATCATATTTAATATCACTATATACCTCTAAGAAAATCAATAACAGAGATGTATATGTATATTTGATAATTAAATATGAATATATTTTTGTCTTAGCAAAAGTTTCTGAATTTTTTTGACATTTAATCACTTTATAACTATTGTTTACATTATTTTATCTAATATTTTAATATTATATTTTAATAATAATATTTACAACAATATTCCACCCAAAATATATTCGTCCATAATATTTTTCAGTGTTAAATATAAGTTTCTCAAATTATTTTATCTGATATATAATTTCTACTATTTATTATACATATGCTTCGCGAACTCACATCCTTGTAAATCCGATACTGGTCGATAGCCCAGACTGTGGGCACGTGAGTGGTCAGGAGCTGCGACAATGACACGTGCTTGTTGCAAGCTCTGGCGCAGATCAGTCTGGTCTTTCCGACTGCCGTGTCACCCACGACCACGCACTTGACCAGTTCCTGGTGCGGTTGCTCATTGTCCATCACCGGCAATCTCCCCTTCTCATGCAATATACCTTTTCACCTGCCAGATCGTTCGAGTTCCGGACCGCTGTCTCCGACGCAGATGACTCTACCGCTTCCGTGGCCGCCGATTGCGTGCACCACATCCGACAACCGGACTGTAACACGGCGTCCCCGACCTTGCCGCGGATAAGATATGCGCTGCAACTGATGTAGACATCAAACGTAAGTCAGTGACAACTTTTTCTATCTTCAGAAATAAATATTTTTATCGGCTCTCAATATAAATAATATAAGTATGCTGTCTTCTAAGCTGGGCAATAGAGCCAAGGAAACGAAACGAAAAATTAATTAAACGGAACTGTATCTCAATTTGAGATCCCAAAGTTCCACATATAAATTAATTTCGAAACTTACATATGGAGAAATAAGCGAGAAAAATATAGGTCCGAAAAGTCGCTGAAGCGGGAATCGAACCAGCTTAGAAGACAGCATACTTATATTATTTATATTGAGAGCCGATAAAAATATTTATTTCTGAGTTTATTCACGCCTTGGGCTAATCACGGCGGTATTTACTAACATCTACTAAAAGGCAAATGAAAAATATAGGATCGAAAGGGTCTGAATAGCTTAGTTGGTAAGAGCAGTCGCCCGGAAAGTGAAAGACGCGGGTTCGATTCCCGCTTCAGCGACTTTTCGGACCTATATTTTTCTCGCTTATTTCTCCATATGTAAGTTTCGAAATTAATTTATATGTGGAACTTTGGGATCTCAAATTGAGATACAGTTCCGTTTAATTAATTTTTCGTTTCGTTTCCTTGGCTCTATTGCCCAGCTTAGAAGACAGCATACTTATATTTTTTCTATCTTGTTTTCGAGAGCGGCTGCCGTATACGATCAATGTTTCAATTTTTTACGACATTGATTTTTCGAAAGCAAGTCGCGACGATAAAATTTTTTAATGAACGCTTATGCAGCCGGAATATGTAGTGTTACGTTACTGTATATTTTTGATAGATTGTTGCATAATGTTATGCAGTAGACGAGCACACATTAAGTACCTTTTATGTCGCGCAGTACTCTGTTCTATGAATTATTTAGCGATTTATAGCCACACTAGGCGCAAGACCTGTTTGACTTTTTGGAGACAGATATAGACTGTTTGCATTAATTGCGCAATAAATAATAATCGCTAATGAATCTAGAATGCGTGAAATAATAATGGAAATGTGTATATGTCAATATTTAATGACAACGTATAAGTCGTAATCGAAAGCTTTTCTTCGAACTTGACCTCCTCGATCATACATATCTCATGGCGATCGAAGATGGAGAATACGCAGGGGGAATCATATTTGTGCCAAAAATAATCTACGATTGTTTGTAGCCATATTACATCAAAGCTAGAATATTAACTTAGAAAATTACGAGATTGCATGATTACACGTGTTGGCAAAAAGCACACGGTTGTATTAATAGATATATATTTTAGACAGGTCTAGGAAGAATAAAAATCTGTAAAACGTTTATACATTCCAAATATATACGCAACATATGTCTATTGATTTGACCCTACAAAAGTATTTTCTATATTTAGTACTAGAAGCTTCGTATTCTCAACTTTCATATTGCTTTAGCCCTGAATTCTACGCGTATATGTATACATAGACCTATATAGCATCGTTCCAGCTGATTCATTCTCAAAATCTTCGCCATTCGATGAACTTCACGTTCTCCGTAACTGTACGCTACATTAAATCCTTTTCTCTGAATTTTCATTCAACTTTTCGTTTACTTTGTAGTTTCTGTACAAAACAAATTGTTTGATCAATGTTACAAAGGTTCATCTCGACGAACTAACGGAGAGTTCCTAATTAATTCTTAGAAATCTCCCCGGATAAAGTTCTATATACGATTATTACTTAAATGGCGTTAAGTCATTTCAAATCATATCTGGATTTAATATTAAATCTTGTTCGAATTCTCCGATGTCATAAAGAATGTGATTATTGATAAATTCAATTCTATCTTCTATTCTCTATTAATATAAATTCTTACTTTATGAAATTCATAATTTTTCTATTTATTATTGCTCTTAAACATGAATTTAGAAAATATAATTGTTACAATTTGAATTTTTGTAGTCTATTAAAGTCTTTTTCTTTAAAAAAATCAAGATTATATAATCTATAAAAATTTGAAAATTAATAACGCTATTTTTTAAAACTGTAAATGGGAGACAGAGCTATAAGGCAGATTTATAATTCAGGCTTTATTATAAATAATTGAAACTTTATTATATGCTACCCTTTGGCAATCTATAATTTCTGCTCTTTGATAACTGCAAATTTAATCTTATCAAGCAGTGAGTAAAAGCTATGTGTAGTGAGAAAAAATTGAATTAATTTTTCGCAACTTTCACGTCGAACGCATCCCAAGGTAACACGCGCTACATACGGCGGGTATAATGTTATAATATCCGCTTGTTACGATAATGTTGTACGTCCAGAGGAAACATGTTGATAATGCTAGGTGACAACCACTCGAGATATGCAAAACGCAATATTCATTGAGTGTGTTGTCTGTCACACGATGCGAAAATCGAAAGCCCCGTCGCTCAATAGTCGACTTGTTTCGCTGACGCTTTCCGGGAAGTGTCTTTGGACGAGACCTACTTTCATGAAATAGAATTTGTGGCAAGTCTCCGCTCTCCGTTCATTCAACAAATCAGTTACATTTTGATCAAAAATGAATTGGAAATGAATTATGTATATTGGTTCGGTCCGCGATTATGTCGATAAAAGAGTTATATGCAAAACTATCGATCGAAAGGGATAGGAAGACTAATTAGTACAATCCGGTTCTTCGCGTGTCAATCTGACCTCGTATTTTTAGTTATCGTATAATCTGTATATGTAATCGTTTCCCTTATCGTGTATTTGTCGTGCGACAATAACATTAAATCAGCAAATAGATGACAATTGCATAATCTGTTATAGTGAACAATATTTTAGATTTTCTCTTCCTTCTTTAAAGAAAATTAAATTTCCCCCATCCATTATTATTACATGTAATCTCATTATAATTTTATTCAATCCACTGTATGATAGAGAGAATCGTATTCTGACCTAAATTGTCAGCAGAAATTTAAGATATTGCGCAACAATAATTTCTTACAGATAACTTTGTCCTTCCCTTATGAATTTCAATAGTTAATTTTCCAATTAAAATCAATTTTCTAACTTTTTAGTGTATTATTAAAATTCCGTGTCAATAAAAATTTGAATAAATATATTTTGAGATGTGCTAGAAATTTGTATTCACTTTTTTCTGCAATGTTTTGTCATGCTAATATCTTAAATCTTTTTAATATGTTTACAAACCTAAAATAATGCATGCGAATAAAAAAATATATATATACAATAATATTAAGGATTATCGCACGCAATAAATCAAGCATGTAATGCAGTTATTGCGCATATGACAAAATAGAGTAATATACGTATGATTTAAGTCAGAACTGGCAAGTCACCATCAACTTTTAACACAGACTATCGATCGACTGACTTGGCGTTAAGTTGTTTTCGCACTTTGTGTTATGCTACGCACGTCTAAATATGCGTGACGCATATTAAAATGAGCATAAAACGAATTGTTAACACGTTGCGGTGACTACATTCAAAACAGCGTTTGCAGTGGAGTAATAAAATAGTTTTATAACAAAAGCATTGGGGTAAGAACAAAGATGATTTGTTTAAACTATGATCACATTAAAAATATACTCGAAAATAATGACGTATTAACAAAAATTGAGCTTTGAGAGTAATTAAATAATTTTAAATGATAATAAATCACACATATCTCCCCTTTTGTGGTTTCGGAAAAATAAATCGTAATAAGATTTATTTCGCAATTTCTGATACTTTACGTCCGGATATTTCGCCGTTATCAAAATCAATAATCACGAATTCGATAATAGCAAACGATACCTTACTCTCGACTTATTATGCTGTTCAAAAGAGATATCTATCCCATTTAACAGAAAAAAACCGATATGGTACTTGAAAGCTACACTATAGTCAAACAAATATCTTATTGCAGCAACTTTTTGAACTAGATAGATAATTTAAAGTTTTTTTTAATTCCATCTCATTAATGTAATAGTAAATTTTTAGTATTACGTAATTACGATTTCATGTCGAGCAAAGTAATGTGCTACCAGAACGACACGATGATTGAAACTATATGCATCAATGACGTCAGAAGCGAGAAAATCTAGTAAAATTTCTCACTCTTACGAAAGTATGCAGAATTATGTAAAATAATTTGAAATAGAATTAAAGCCTTAGGAGATAAATTTGCAATATTTCTTGTTGTCTTCTGTTATATGAAATAGAAAGATTAATGCAAGTGACATGTGTATATATGTACATACATATATATATATATATATATATATATATATATATGTATGTATGTATGTATATGTACGTATATATATATATATATATATATATATATATATATATATATATATATATTGCTAATTACTCAATGTAATTTCGCTGCTTTCGCGGATACTTTAATCGATGACGCGCCACACAGTCTCTAGGGTTTTAAATTGATTTTAGTTCCTGTTTCACTGTTCTATATACTTTCACGAAAAGCTATTTAGTCAGAGAAATATCGCCCTGACGTCATCGATCTACATAAACGATTATTAGCCAGCTTTAAATAGTCAAACCCTAACAACTTGGGCGGATACTTCCCGGAATCGCAATAAACGGCAAATTCCACGGATTCGTAATATCGAATATCTCTAATCTTAATATCAATCTCCTTGAATGTGAAATGGCTCTACTATTTTATCATTTAATGCTTATATATTTAAGATATGACATATGTCAAGAGTTTCGACAGCTGTCAGTTGTTGCTCGACGTTGTCCAATTTCTCGTCAGGAATGATCGTATGATCGAACGTACGTGTTTCCTCCCGTAAATATCTCCGAAAAAAAAAATACATTTCGCGTATGCCATGAGCGTATATCAAGAGACACGGTAGTGTCTCGCGACCAGTTAAGGGCGTAGCCGAGACACCGTGTATCTTAACGCGAGTCGGACATTTGAGTCTTTATAATATTTCGAATTCTAAAAATTTTAGTTAAAAAAACTGGGCGCGCTGCTAAATAATATTCTAATGATATTAAAATTAAATTGTTACTTTTAAACTCATTGCAGCGCGCCCAGTTTTTTTAACTAAAATTTTTTTATTTCTTTTTATTTTATATTAATTTTAAATTTGCATAAGTTTTTAAATTTTAATTTTTTATAAAAATGTTTATTTATTCGCGCAATAATTGGACATTACTTTTTGTAGAGGTATTAATTTTAGAACATAAATTTTTGTCAATTGATAGATTTTTTTACTTAAAAATACTTTTTGTTTAACACTTTTTCATATGGCGCATGGACTTGGCATCTTGTTTATCTTTTTTTTAAAAGATAAGTTTTTTTATGGTACAATTCTACATTTGCAAATTTAAATTTTTATTGATTCATTATACGACTCTATATATGTCTGCAACTTTAATTTTCCACTGGTACAAGTTTCTACTTTCACTTGGCGCAATTTTTTTTTTATTTCATTACTTTTGTTACGATTGTACATTGGTTTATAATCGATAATTTTTCATACAATTCTATTGTACATGGGTTTGCAATGGATAATTTTTGTTAATGGTGTGCCCTTAACTGGTCGCCTTTTTTTACCTTTTTTTAAAGGTGAGTTTTTAGAGATTATATATATATACATGACGTTCAATGTATCTAAAGCACGAGAGAGAGAGAGAGAGAGGGAGAGAGAGAGAGAGAGAGAGAGAGAGAGAGAGAGAGAGAGGGAGAGAGAGAGAGAGCGGATGTAGAACGTGCGAGAGCGGACTGTAGATATCGTGCATTGCGGCGCGTAGAACAGCTGACGCATTGCAGAACGCGGGTCACGGAGAGGTCAGTCGCGAACGCGAGTAGAAGAGAACCACCGTCGTCCGCCGTCAGTAGAAAAAGTCGCATGGGCGGCCCGGGTCGGCGCACTATACTTTCTTCTCTTCTTCATCCTCTGCTCTTCTCTCTCTCTCTCGTCTTTTTCGTCATCGAGCCGAGCCGAGCCGAGCCGCGTCGCGTCGTCGAGCGGCAGTAAATTAATCCCGACCGAAGGACGGTCCAAGTCCAAGAGAATTGCACGCGGGGTCAACGAGCCGGTCGCGTCCGTCCGTCGTCGGCTGCATTAATTAAGTAAACGGTGTTCTTATTGCCGACCTCTTTCAGCGACTAATCGCGGAATAACTGCGATGCTTACAAGCCTTGAAGCGACGAAATCGGAAATGTCAATTTCGGCATGTTCTCTCTTTCTCTTTCTCCCTATCAATGTATACAACGCACGCATCACGCTTTCGTCGTCTATGTATATCTTTGCTCCGATATCTCCCGATGGGATGTCCTCTTCGTGACGCAGGCGATAAAATCAGACGACATCGGCACGCGCCGTTTAAATCGTGATACCACGCAGCAATCGACGTTAGTTAGAGCAAACGATCGCGATATACCGCAATGCCGAGCGACGTCTCGTTACAATGTTAGAGGGAGGGCATAAATCAATTTTTAACTGTGCCGTGACTATGGGTCGACGGTCGAGTTGCGATCTTCATTGGCACACTCTACGTTTTCGCGGATGGCTAATCAGTTCTGTGTATTTGTCATCGTTTGCCCCTTATTTGAAAAAATCATTCGAGCAATGAAAGCAAAATAGATTTAACAAGAGACATTGATTTGGCTACTCGTGATGTAATGAGCGGAGGTGGCGATACATTCGATCGAATGATGTATATAATGTATGTGATATGATGTATGACACGTGCAAGAGAGAATGCATGTTTATGTATGTATATGTATGGGTGAGCTAATATTAATGTCAACCGCACCAGCAACATTAACATTCGCAAGAGCAGGGTGCTGCAAATTCGAGGTTCGTCTCTGCATCAGCGGCGGGGACGCTCGTTCCGCAGACAGTGCTCTCTTATATAAGTTAAAAGCGAGACGGAGAGTTGGATTGAAGAGAGAGAGAGAGAGAGAGAGAGAGAGAGAGAGAGAGAGAGAGAGACAGAGATAGCGAAGAGTAAAACCAGAGAGATAAATAGATGGAATAATAGTCCACTGCCAGCACACACGCGATAAAACGTAGGCCAGAACGTATCGACATTGAGCGCAACCGCACCGTGCGACTTTGTTGCTTTTCTCGAGACATCGTGCGAGATTTGTCGTTCTTCCTCCGAGGTAACGTTCGCCCGCGGAAAAAGGAGAGTTTCCCTCAAAGGGAAAACGACAAAGTTACCTAGCTTAAGTTAAGTGCTGGAACACGACGACGCACGAAACAAGCTGGCTGTCGTATATACGTTCTGACTGAGAGGAGACTTACTCTGCGGGTGATCAATTTATATCATGCGCCTCCCTTTCACACTTGCCGACTGCTGTATTTTTCTCTCCCTTCGACGTGCACACGCACCCGCGACTGATCTAGATATTCTCCATAAGACGTGGCAGCGCGAGGAGGTGACCGCGAGATGATTCGCACCGCTCTCGAAAATGCACCCGTGGCAAACCCACGTTCCCTCTTTCTCTCTCTCTCCTCTTTCCCGATGACAGCTGCACGCCGGTTCGCTCACTCCGGCTGACGCATGCTACGCGAGTCCACGCGACGAGTTTGGCGAGGTGGCACGTTCTCGCGCGAGTGGAGCGACATATATGCACATTTGTATACATAGGTACGTACGATCGACTGCGCGTAGAGAGCCGGAGGAAGGAGCCGAGAGAGGAGATGTGGAACTCACAAGTCGACGCACGAGAAATTACCCGCGTGCACTCTCTCCTTGCCTGTTGACTCGATGGGAGTTCCGGAGCGTCTCCCTTATATATATATATATAGGACTTTTCTCCACGAAGGCGATCTAACGATCGCCGCTCCTCCGTTCCTCCTGTCTTCTTCGGCCGCTACCGTCTGTCGGAGCGGACTAGAAACTGCAGCGGCGGCACATCGCGCAACCAGGACGTTCCACGCAAGTTCCAGCTGACGTCCTGACAGGGTGGGCGCGCGAGGAGGGGCATTCCATCCGAAGCGAGGAAGGGAAGGAAGCGCCCTGTGTGTATAATCTTCGGATCGAGACAGACTCTCTCTCTTTCTCGACGCTGCTCCTCTTAATCCGGATCGAAAATAATAGCCGAGTTCGCAAAAGACGAGAGATCGTGACTACGGACACTTGCGACGAATGACGATTCCTCCAAGATTAAGCTCGCGGGACGATCGCGCGTTTTCGGAAGGACGATACCAGATGTTCTCCATGCGATCGGAGCAAGGAGGAAAATAGGGAGATTAATCGCCAAGTTCTCGAGACGTTTGTTCTCATCCCTCTCGGTTCTCTCTATAGTCGACAAATGTCTGGCGCATCCCACCACCCCTGTACGCGATTCCCACTCTTTCTCTCTCTTTCTCCGTCCCTTCGCGTCCCTTCTTCAGTTTCTCTCTCGACCTTGCCCTCGAGCGGACAAGCCACGAGGGCGCCGATTAGCGGATCGACGCGTACGAGTCTCCGATCTCGTGGAGGGAGACTCCGTATGCATCGCAGAATCGCACGCTCGCGTGTTTCGAGCAGAACTGCGCACCACCTGTCAACGACTGGCGGTCGCGCGAGCGCCGCTTCGCGAGTTGACCCACCTCCGCTTACGAGACCACCACCGCTGCCGTCAGTCGATCGAAACCGCTGCTGCCGCCAAGGCTCAGCCACCAGGTGAACGTCGAGAACGTTTATAGCTATAGCGTTATATCGACGTGCACGTGTTTCGTGCACGCGAAACAGTGCACCAAGAATTGACGACGTAGTTGCACCGTCTTAGCTCTGTCTCTCTCCACTGTGAAACTGATTGTGGGAATGAAAGGAGAAAGGTCGATAGTCCTCGTCGTCGTCGTCGTCGTCGACGTCCTCGTCGACGGTCGTCCGCTCGGTGCTGCCCCGGTGGCCGTCGACGGGCGCGTCGCTGACGGTGAGAACGTATGTATGAGTGAATTAGGGTAGGGTTGAATAATAGGGTAGGGATGGTACCAACGCGCCGGTTGGGGAAGATGAAAGAGAGAGAGAGAGAGAGAAAGAGAGCGGCTCGGTTGACGAGATAGACCCGACAGCACCCGGCCAACTACACATCGCTGAATGAACCCGCCGTGACCCCGACCCTCCTCCCGAATCACACAACTACCCCCGTCGACCCTCGTTTGCCTTCTCCTCCCCACCGGTCGACGCGATCTTCGTGTTATTTTATAAACGCCCTTCGACCGCGCTGACGTCTCTCGGGATGCAGCGATACACGCCGGGGAAGTATCGTCTTGAGAAAGATTCTCGTAGAAAATTTTCTCAAATTTCCCGATGACGCATTTCAAGTTTCTCTCGGTTTATAATTGATTGGTTCGCTCTTTGAACGAAATTTCGCAATTTGTAATATAATTGCAAGAACATTTCCTCGCGACATGTTATTTTTCTTTTTCAAAAATCTCTTCAATTGAAATCTAATTTTTTCTTCATTGCATTGTGGCGATAAAAACTGTTCATGTGCACAATAGAAGGAATTATCGCACTTTTATCTTGTTAGAGAATAGGAAAGATAATCATCCTCTAGTTTTTAAAGATGACTTGAAATAAATTAAAAGAGAAAGTAAAGAATAGACCACGATATTAATTTGTTGACTTGATGGATTTAATGGATCAGAAGTAGATTACAATTTGATAACCTTCATTTAGGAAATAGCATAATGATCAAATACTTGATTGGATTGTAATGATCCAACATGACGATAATAGCAGACTTATTACTCTATATTTCTTCTTTGTGAAAGAAGTATGTTTATGAGCGAGCTCTTATTGGAACACTACAGGGTTTGTCCGGAAAGTAATGCGTCGCATTTTTTTGTGACGCGACTATACATCGCAGAGCGATGGGACCGGTTGGGAGGAAGGGGGGTACCCTTAGCTTTCCAACGGTAGGTCGCTCAATTGTTTCCATGCGCTTGGAGGGTTAGGACGGCTTATTCTGTGAACCTCTGCTTAGTGGTCGCGTCGAACTTGTGATGGAGAGAACGATAGAGCAACGCTATGCGATAAAGTTTTGCGTGAAGCTGGACAAGACGCCGCTGGAAACTTTTGAAATGCTCAAGAAAGTTTGGCCCCGGCGGACTTTTTTTATTTCCTCGGCTGAAAAGGGAGCTCAAAGGACAACAGCTCGAGTCGGTTGACAACGTACAAGCTACTTCGACGGCCTCCCTGAACAGCATCCCAGTCAAGGAGTTCCAGAAATCTTATGACGCATGGAAATCGCGTTGGCAAAAATGTATTGACGCAGAAGGGTCATACTTCGAACAATTTTAAGTTGTTTTACCTATGCGATCAATAAATTCTTTTTAAAAAAATGCGACGCATTACTTTCCGGACAAACCCTGTATATATTGCGCTGTCTAATTCTACGTGCGTCAGATCCTCCCCTCCTCCCATCAGCTATAATCATTCTATATCTACTACTTGTCGGTGCCAATAGCTATTAGCCACACTTAAAGGGTTTGATCATCGTCAATGAAATTTGCTGAATGGATCTTCGAACAACCTCATCAAGATCAAATAGTACAACGTTGACTTATTCGCATTTGACTTCTTCTTTTTTTCTAAATTAACATCAACGTTAGAAAATTAAGAAACGCGCGCGCATAATCATCAGTTAACATTAATTTAATCTGTAATCTACAATTTCAGAAAACGTTTATGATTAACGCAATCTTTAATCGAATGATATAAATATTTTTTACAATAATTATAATATATTAATCGTAAAAACGTAAAAATATGCACATTCTAATTTTTTAATTTAAATATATACATATGTATCTCACCCTGCTTAAATATAGCAATTATCTTATTTAGAAATAATGAAAATATGATAATGTCATGCTAACATTTATTTAGTGTATCGTAATAATCCTCCGTAAAAACTTTTCTTACGTATAAATAATAAAAATAATTTATTACTAATTGGCAGCAAATTCGATGCATTCCTGTAAAGTGGCAAGTCGTAAGAATTTTACCCCCCATTTGGTACAGGAAACAAAGAAACATGCACCGGTACCGATATCGGCACCGTGTTTAACCATCACGCGCATGCTGGATTCGTTGTGACGTCAGGGGGCGAAAAATCAATCCACCCTGCCGCCACATTGTAGCATGCGGCGAGACCGGGGGTTGTGTGTTACGTCCCACCACCATCCCCCGTCATTGCTATTAATTGTTACAACAGTCACGCTCGCACGATTGTAATTGCGTGACAATAAAAGAAAATTTTATGAGGTTTCGGCAATTTAAGGGAGAGCTCGAGCTTGCAAACTCGTCCAATCGATCGACCAACAGATTCGTGTTTATCTCTATGATGCGAATGAGATCAACTGTAATTGTGGTTGCAAATGTTGCGTGTATCATCCTTGAAGCACTTTAAATCATGCTTGAATAAAAAGCGAATCGTAACGAATGACTATCAAGCTGTCAAGGCGAATCAACGGTCGCATCGTAGAAGTTTTATCATCTTTAGTCACCGCAATATAACCAGTTGCCGCATTACTGCGTTTTAAAATAACGTTCCTTCGAGATGTCTAAATAGTCTTAGGTCAATCTATTCTCACCTAGAGATGTTTTATATATAAATATAAATATTTTCCACTGTCGCCCGTCTTAATTACAGATACATTTTTTTAATATAAAATTAAATATTATGTCAAATATATAATTTTATATCAGAAACCGATTGATTGCCGATACGTAATTGTAAATTTGAAAATGAAATATATATTGTTGCTTTAGTTCACGAATATATTCTGATTATGAATTATAGTTAGTCATTTGGTGCATCATCTATTTTTTTAAATAGACAATAAATAGATAAAAAATCAAATGTATGTATATTATATAGCTAAAAAACTAATGATAAGTCTTCTCCTTCTCTATTTACTTTCCATATGGTTATAAAAACTACACGATTTTTTAATATAAAGTTTCAAAATTGTTTTTTCTAAAATTTCACTCAAGCCACAGAATTTAGATTTCTCTCGAAACAAATAAAACTTTAATATCTACTGAATGAAAATGTTCATATATATACTTATCGCGTGTTTTTCTGAGATATAGACGATTATCTATTAATTGTCAAATTGACCATTTTGCGATAATTGTGGCGTGAATAAGACACATTGCACGTTGTATTCGCGAATGATTAATTAATTGGTTAACCGATTAATTAACTGACTCGACCTGTCTATATCACAATCCATACGTGAATAGTAATACATACTTATGTAACGGCGGAGATGGAGAAGACTAATACGCGAAACTACACGTATATAATGACGATTGCGTGTCTTACTTGTGCACGTACCAATAAGCAACGACAAAAACACGCTTGCAATCAAATGCAACGTGCGTCCGCCCACGTAGCAGTCGCTTCTCTCCCGAAACTCTGCCAGACCGACCACGCGAAATTTCCTCGGTTGACTGTTAGCTACAACTGAAATCGCGACACTGAAAACAGCGTCTTATACGCAGTGCATTAATGCGTTGACTTTGACTGAAAAAGACAAATACGTGGCTCATTGATAAGTAATTCGTGCTGCGCTTGTCGCGTATTATGTGTACATTATGATACGATTAGCGATAACAATTCTATTATTATGACAAAAAAATAATATTACGAAGCTTACTTCAAGACGCCAATGAAAATGAACTTTAGATTCTCGCTGAAGGAAAACATTATTTTTGATTTTTGCAAGAATGAACAAATATGATATTATTTATATTTGATAAAATAATTAATAAAACTAGCTGTAAATGTGTGCATATTTTTTCTACACGAATAATTTTACATTTTTTTATCTTTGCATTTACATACATGCAAATGTTATATTTTTTCCATATAAATATACATATATCAATGTCAAATGAATCGCTATGTTCATTAAAAAATATGTTAGAGTCATTTTTTTTGTTATGCACATCAGTAAGCACTTGATAACGTTCCGTTATTAGTAGCGAATATATACGTACATATGTGATATCACTGATCGATCGAGCACTTGGTCGCTTATATAACTCTATGTAAACAATGTACGGATATTTATACGTACAAGCTAAACGATTTTCCGACCTGAACGACAACGATTTATGACTAGACAGCGCGCCTCATTGGTATTCGATAACGGCGCACGCGCTATTAACGCGTGTAATTAGCAAAAAGGTACAGCGATAAATACGCTGCGTAGTTCGGTAAATTGACTTGTTTACCTTCCGTTCACGGATGCTGCCTGTAGAAAATGGAATCTGAATCGCGACACTTTGTGTACGCGTGATGTCTCGTTCTCGATGTTTCGCGAAAGCAGCTTTTTCGCGCGAACGCATTCGCATGTGTGTGTATATGCATTTTATTTATATGCTAAACGATTTTTATTGCGTTGTCTAAAGATTCTTCAAGTATGCATGGAACACATGCAACGCGAATAAAAATTCGCAAATAATCGTGGAATGAATGGAATGAGACTGATAGTTGTTTTTCCGTTCCCTGCTCCATTACGAATAATTATGATATTGTAGAAAAAATAATAAGACAGAAAAAAGAGATAATTTTTGCGAAATAACTCGAAGAATAACATCTGATAACATTTTGATGCGTACTTGCTTTGCATTCGCGATAATACGTGAAGATAAGGAGAGATAGGTAAGCGAAGAGGATCAAAATAGGCGCCAAGTGATTAAACAAAAGAAAATCGACAATAGAGTGTAAAGACGATATGAGTACATGTACCTTGCATTCCTTGAATATTTCTATTGTTTGCCGAACCGGCGCCAAATGTTACGTTTCTTAAGTACGTGTGAGCGAATGGAAAAAAACAACTACTCATCGATGAATAGTAGAAAAAGTTAGACGTGGTCAATTTTCTTTTTCAGTACGAGACAAATATATCTCGTCTCTGATGCCGTATTAGGCATGAGGAATCAAAGTAGGTTCAACAGAGACATTATTCGATCATCAAACCGTGCATCATTAGCTTATTAAGTTAGTTAAGCGAGGACGAAAGAAGACAACGTTGTGCATCGCGACAGTCATAAATTGCCTTTAGGCGTCGTTTTAGAGCCGCAATATTTTATTTTGTACCTTATGCCGTGATTCTTTTTGTCTACCACATTTAAAATTTACATTTCCATATGACACTGAACTAAAGGTATATTTATAACATTTTGAAAAGAATATCTTTATCTTTATAACATAGAGATAATAATCATTTTTTGTCTCCTCTATAGCTTTATTATTGGATAAAGTCTATGAACGAAAGCATAAATAAATTGAAAGGATTAATTAAAAAATCCTATATATATGTAAATAAGTATTACAATATTTCAAACATTGTCAATATTATTTTGTAACTTTATATCTCATTAGTTCTTGTCATATAAACAATCAGTATGTTGAATTTCTCATAAAATATTAAAAGTTTGCTTATTAAAATAAATTCCTTGCTTAATAAAGAGAGAGAGAGAGAGAGAGAGAGAGATTTAAACAAATATATTTTTACTTATATATTTTTTATATAAAACTTATATAAAACTTTATGGGAAACTTTCGTTAGATTAACATATTGTTTATTTGCATTTAAAAAGTAACTTGCACGCATGCAGATTAAGCAAATAAGGCGATAGCCTTTTAATACAAAGTGCAAAAGTTTGTGAATATGTTCAATTTTTTAAATTGATTTTTTAAATTAATTAATATTTTTTCTAAGAATAAATATTAATTGATTTTTGTATACAGATAAACAAACATATAAAATATGTATATTATAATTTACGAGTACATAAAATTTATTAATAAAAAACATAAAATGCATTTTATATAATTCTTATGATCTTTAAGTTGCAAAATAAATTGCCATAAATAGCCGGAATAAATTGATTTAACCGTCAACCTAACACAAGACGATTAGACGTCCACTATTATATCGATAACCATATCTGGGTCATGCAAATTGCAGCGTGCGACTTTTTTTAGATGATTTTATTCGATAATGCAAAAATTACATATTTTACAGATAATTGCACAATTATGCATTTTGTGCTAAATATCATTTTCTCTTATAATATAATAACGATTAAATCAAAATCATGTGAAAAAATAAAATTTTATTAATATATTTTGTATACTCTTTCTAATATTATTTAATAATTGAAATTTATTAAACTTTTTGATCTGTTTTATTATTATTTATATTTTATTATATTAGATACTAAGTGTATATGTATATATACATACATTTTTTTAACATAAAATATAAAATACAATTTTTATATATTAATTACTGCCAATAAATTATTTGCCAATATAAATATCATGAAACGGAATCTTTTAATATACTTATATTTATCAGATTAAGTAATATGCATCTGACAATGATAGAAGCATAGAAGTATGTGGCGCTATCTTGAGATCGATGTCATCAAATAAAGAACAAATATAAACTCGTCCGGTCAAATAATGCATTGATACAGTATAATTAATTTAGAATAGAAGCTCTATGCAAACCAAAATATAATTTAAATAAATATTTGGTTTAAATCACTCTCTCCTTTTTATACGAAAAAAAATATATATATATAATTACGTTTTTAATTTTTCAATAATAAATTAAATTCTTTGTATTGTCTTTTAAAAATAACACTAAATTAATACTAAATTAAAGCCAACATATGTATTGTATAATTTCATTTTTATTTTATTTTATTTTAATTATATTTTACATTATATTTTTAAAATATAAAATTATATAAATCTGTTACTAAACTATCATAAAATCCGTCATGTATGTATGTACCTATACGATTTCACATTTTTCTGCAAGTTCATAAAAATTCTAGAATAACTATATCTGCAATTTAATCGGATTAAAAAGTAGCTTTGAAGATCAATAAAAGCTTCGATTTATTGACGCAAAAATATGCTTCCGATACTAAAAATAGCATTAATCTATGTTTAATTTTCGGAATGAACCTTGGATTCCTGCAAGTTCCATTAACAGACGGGATGTTTTCGATTCCGGCAAACGAGCCCTCTCGTCTGTACGACTTAGTTTCTCGTCCCGCAGAAACCAATCTCTGTTCTTTTCAATTTTCTCTTGCCACGCAGCTGTGTGTGCGCATGTGGAAAATAATATTATAAAGCAATCCTCTAAGCTTAATAAAATAATACGTAGTATCAAGTCTCGTAATATTGATCTAATCATGCATGACATATGAAACTTTCATAATTAATATATATATTTACTTAACTATGATAATTGTTTATAAATAATATTTTTACGAAGTGCGAAGAAACGTTCTCATAATAACGCAAAACATTCTGAAATTGATTAGAAATTAATAATAAATGAAAGATTACATATTTACCATTTAATTCTTGAAAAGTGCCTGCTTTGCCACCCCATTCATTAGGAAGTATATCTCTATCTATATAAGGGTATAATTCCTGTTCATCGCCATTATGCATGTAAAACTGTAAATATATAAGGATTGTCTAGCGTGTTTACAATTTATCTTTCAATTATATTTTATCATGATTTTGTATGAATTGTACCTTTTGAACCAGCTTTTCTTTTAAGAGTGGATAAAATATATTGATAATATTGGTTATTAACGATGGTGCATTAAGATAATGGACGCTAAATAATCGGAAAGGCATGCTATCTTGCACTGCCAACATCGCTCGTCTTACGATAGATTGTGTCGGAATAAATTTCGCCAAATGTGCTGTGCTTAATCCCTAAAAGAATAATTTTTTTTTATATAAATAACGAGAGTTTATATCGCTGATACTAAATACTTTGTGATTAGAAATGCGTCTATGTAGATAATAAATATAATACGTGTATTATATACATATATTTTTTAATATATATTATTATATATTAATATATGTATATATATAATTTAATATATATATATATATATATATATCTTTCATTATATTTAGTAAATTTTGTGTAAATGAAGTATCTCATATGATTTCATCTGCTTTCGAGTAACAATGGCATAAATGAGAATGCGCTCGATATATTTGACGCTTAAGTGCAACCTAGTTTTTTATATTTTGTCCCCTAGCTCTACACCCAACCCTTTATATGCATTTTCTTCTTAAAGTATGATCAATACAGTAAAAAAGAAAAAATGTGACTGCCATTTCTGATATGAAAAGTTAAGCAGGGTAAAAAAATAAAGCAATCCTTACCTCAAGATCTACAATCATAATATTAGACAAGCAGGATTCCTCCCATAAACGAGCATCAAGTATCATTAAGATACGTTTGACTATCGTTTGAAAAGAAAACTTCTCCACATCAGTATCGCGTAATCGGAAGATGGTGACACGATATCCCTCCTCGGTTAACGAAGGCAAGACGAAGTAGTCTCTAACGAAAATATTGTTTAAGAAGTTATAACTTACAACTTAAGAACTTATAACTGTGAGAATTTATTTACAAACTTTCTGATTTGTTTCGAAACTCCCGGGAAAGGGGCACTCTAATAATTCTTTTTCAGAGATTATTTAGAAGTGTGCGAAAGAATGTAAGATTTATTTACACTACGCTAACGGAGTCTTGAATATCCCGAGATAGCGGATCACGATCGGTGAAAAATTCCGGCAAGGATGTTCGAACGGTGTAATATCTTTCCAGGATTAATTTGCATTTCTCGACGCTGTTCTTGCAATTGTAAAGAAATCTTCCCAGTTTGCCATCATCTACAATCAGTAAAATCGTATGATTTTTACTGTACAAAATGTCGCTTGCTTTTTACACGTTAGACATATGCACTCGTATATATATTCTTTATCGGATTTGAAATTAATATTGTTGTCAAGTACTTCATCTTCCTCATTTTTTGATAAACTATTTTTGCCATAGATCTTGTTAGTAGAGAAAAGTAGCTCTTTAATAATTTGAATATTATATTATTAGAAGCTAGAAGCTACTACTAGTAATCAGAATCGCACATCGTACGTTTTCTTATGATTAAAATAAATTATGAACAAACACCTATATGATTTGGCAAATGCGGTTGCTTAAAAAGCCATTCTCGAAGTGCCCTGATATCCTGTTTTCTCATTTCTGGATCAGGTGGGAGCTCTTTATCCATTTGTTTCTGTTGCGCTGGCGTTGGCGGTAACAATGTCATGATTTTCTGAAACCACAACTGAATCGAATTATTATCTAGCTACAATGAGAATTGCGGAAATCGATATAAGAGAGAAATAATTCCAATAATATATACATATGTATATATTTTGTTACTTTATCTTTTTGTTTTCACATTTTTAGTTTTCTTTATTCTGTAACGCTGCAGTTTTTCACTTCAAACTTCAAAGTAAACGCACGTCATTTCTTCCGTCATCAATGTACCTACTTGACGATATAAGATTGCATCTATTTACTTTCGCATTTTTCTTATCAGGACAAATAAAGATAATACTAGGCCATATATGCCTTTGCAGTTTAATTTTCTCATTTTTTTCAACGAACAAATATTTAATCTCGAATTCTGACTATCATGTAATAAACGGTACTCATAATGTAGAATTCAAAGAATTTGGAACAATATAAAAAGATGTATAATCATAAAGGAAAAAGAAATATGTGAAGATATATATTTTTACTTATTTTTATATTAATATTTGTGATTTACATTTTACTTTCTTACATCTTCATATTTTATTTGATTTATTATAGCGGCGTGGTGTCATTTGTCATATTGCAAGAAAAAATACGCACATCTTTTACTGATATTGTTCACATGTTATAGTATGATTTACTGTCGCGAAAAAAAACGACCTCGTCCATTCTCCGCGTTACAAACGATGTTTACCTTTTTAAAATATTTGCTTGAGAAACGAAGGCGCGGGAGTAATAGGAAATAACATACAGGCGAGTCAGGGGACTCAGTCAGGAAAGAGAACGCGTACGTGACATGATTTCACAGGCGACCCTGTCTAAATTATTCCCAAATTTCGAATGCATTTTTTTTGCGAAAGCCGATCGACTGTATTGAATATTAATCGGTTTATTTCAGTTATTATCGTAGAATTGCAACATTTATAATGAAACAAAAATGCCGATATTCTCAATATTTGCATTCTAATCCACACATACACTTATCTTATTTTCACAAAAGTTAAAATTAAATTAAATTCTCCGACACTAATAAATTTTTAATTTTTAATGTAGCTAAATATTTGTTTATTTGTCATACTTTTCATTATACTTATAAGTATGAGAAAACAGCGTTAATTTTGCTCCTAATTGCTGCTTGAGTTTTTCAACTATCTCATTATCGTATCACATAACACAAATAACATTATTCTTAAACTGATAAAAATCATTAAGTAAATGTAGAAATGTCACATTGCAGAAAAAAAATGATCAAAAACAGTTTCGGAAAAATTAGCAATTATATATAATTAGGTAAGAAATAATCAGAAAATAAAACTATGAAAAATTAAAATAAAAAACCGTTCTTTTTAATGATGAATATAGAATCGACTTTTTTGTATATAAAATCCATTAAATTATAGTTTACAGACATATTTTATATAAGTCATTATTAATATAAGTGAATAAAACTATTTGAGAAAATAAGTTTTTTTATCTACTCATATCTCTCTATAAAATTAATTTGGCTAAATTGAAATATTTAATAGTTTTCTGTAAAATATATTCAGATTTTTATAAAATATTTTCTCTAAAATATATTTTCTCTAAAATAAAATTAATTTTATTAAAATTGAAATAAAAATAAGAGCATACTTTATATTATAATTTTCTATTTATTGGCGAGTCCAATGAGTCGAGTCGTGGTTTGCAATCACTTACGAATTGAAAAAGATGCAATTCGTAGATCAATCTTTAGCGTATTACGACACTTACTTGTACACAAGTTGATAATAAAGCCAAAATGTGGTGTACGTGAAAATTCCACGCGTTGCTGTACAGTCCAGCTTGATGAGTAAAGAAGTACCTTCCACCGTTTCTGGCGTTCAGGATTTTTATCTGTTCGAAGCAGAGCGATTCCTCTCTTCTTTGAGCAGTACTTTAAGTTCCCCACCATATAGGTACCGTATATAACATAGCTGCATACATAGAAAGAATGTCCACGTGCACACATACACATATATGATTCAACACGTGCGTGAACTTAAGTAGAGAATGCAGACTATTCGTCTCATTGTTTTCATAACGAAACTTGACTGACGTGACCAGATTGCAATAATGATTGCTCAATTTCGATCATTGATCTCGCGCGAAAGTAGCGAGTTGTAGGAGAATCGCACGAGAAATAAAAGCGCGATCTAATAAAAAATAATTCTTATTTTGTTACATAAATTTTTTATTTTATCAAAATCAATGCATTTTTTTATTTCCTTTTCGTAATTATGTAGATCAAAATCCGCTGAAATAAAGCCAAAAACCTTTACTTAATGAAATTATTGTTGAGTTTTCAGTCTTAAAAAGAAGTCATCTCAAAAAATTTGTCTCTACATCACGTACAAAACTAACAGCCTCATGTTTAAAAATATAAATTAATTTGGATGAGTCAGTACAATTAATCTGTAAACTTTCTTTTGATCTTTATTCTCTCTTTTTCTCTCTTTTAGATATTTTTAGATAATTCTCCTGTATTTTTCAAAATCAAATATGCTTTTTGCTTTATATAATCCAATTATGCATAATTCAATCTTATCTAACATAATTTTACGTCATTGATGTTTCTATAATAAAATACATCGTAAATGCGAATATGAATGTATTGGTTGAAAACGATAAAATATTAAAATTTATTATCACTATTTTTTTATAAAAATGGCCCGTAAAATAGGTAGGCCAAAATGATAGTCGTTAATTATTTAACAATTATTTATTTACATCATGTTTCTAAACTGTCCGTGTTTGGTAGCATAACTTGTGATTAAGGTAATCAATGCACCGTGCATTCGATTGCGAAAATTGTTTGACTTATGGTATATGCAAGTAGAGAGTTTCCGAAAGAATATTAAAAACCGTATATTAACCTATTCGAACAATCGTAAAATTACAATATGAAAATATAACGGTGAATGCATATTGCTTGTGCAATATTTATCAAACGTATAAAATGTATAATTTACTTGATATATCTTAAACGATGTTTCCATTATACAATTATCAGAAAACTCGCAGATTTACAAAGATACTTGAAATTTAAAAGACTTTATATCTTAGCTTAATATTTAAATCTATAATTTTGACTTATTGATATATACCCATATTAGTATTAATTTTTTTATTAATATTTATTAATTAATATTTTATAATAATTAATATAGTCAGAATTGTTAAAATAAACTGTTAAAAAATAATTATACACTTTTACATATATCCTTGACTAAATTTGAAAGATTAAATATTGATTATATACTAACGATATTACCAAGATAAATATAAAGACACATAGACATTTTTTTTATACGAAAAATTTCGGCTTATTTTATGATGGACTTGTTTGCGGTCAAAGTATAAACACACTTGTACTTTGAACGCTGCTAAAGTTTGCGGAATACTCAATTAAAGTGGCTGTTAATTCACAAAGAGATATAAAATGAATAAAATTCAAGATATAATGCAACTTAAACTGACATTTTGAATACATAAGTGCCACACAGGTGCATAACTCGATCATTTAATTGAGACTCAATAATTTAAAAATATAACGATTTGGCATATAACATTCGACTGACGAAAGATGTGATTTCATGATCTCGGTTGCAAATGGCGTTTATTTTGTAATTCATTGCAGTTGACAGCTGATGGATGCCATAATGACCGATCATTCTTTCTATATTTCACGTGTTACTATTACGTTGTTATACTTTTAGCAATTTATAGCAGTGTCATTATTAATAATTGCGTTGAAAATTCCATCATTATATCTAGAAAAATTGGATTCAGCTGTCAGAACATGAAATCGTGAACATCGTTCTGAAAATTACAAAATGTAAAGTTTCTGTCGACTTGCGAAATGGTGGACTGCATTACCATATGCAACAGCGCCTGCATAACATGTATCTGGTGCATTCTCTTTTCGGTATGGTACGACTTCGTAACAGTCAGTCGATCGCAAACTGATCTATAGGAATATGCTAAGGCATATTCCGTGTACTTTTTTGATCAAATTAGTTTTCTTTTCCCTTTTAGTTTTCCAAGATTCTCGAAAAATCTTAAGAAAGTGGATTCGAGCGAGTGTTGCATACGCAAAAAGTCGAATCTGAAACACCAGAAAGCACATACGCGTGATTTTTCAAGATGCGTGAAAGCCGATTTAGTTCGTGCACGACGATTCAATGATTGTTCGTGCTTTGAACGTGATCATGAAGATCGACGAGAACATCGTTCCCGAGAAAAAAAGTGCGATCGAGCATTAGGAGAACGTCGAAATGCATGTCGATGCTTAAAAAAGGATAGGAAAATTTCGCCAATATATAAAAGACCGGTCAAACATTCGAATAGTTACAGCAAGTCGGACAGATCTCTAAGCAAAAAGAATAGCAACACAATTTTGGAAGCAGACAAAAGTGAATATGATCAATTAAAATTAATATCAATCAAAATTAATATTTGTCGCTAGTGGTGAAAATAAGCTTAAACGACTTGACTACGACGTAACTAGCAATTTTATTTGATTATTTCACGACGTTTCGACCATTTGGTTGTGGTCCTTTTCAAGTGAAATTTCTACAACATAATGTTACACAATATTTTTTAACATACGAAAACTCATTTAAGTGTTAAATTAATAAAATAAGTATAAATTTTATAAACATACCATCAATTAAACCGAGGTTAACATAACATCACACCGGTGTTATTTGAAATCGAAAGTTAAACGTTAAAAGAGGAACACGTCCCATCGTTATGATGTTAAAAGTTAAAAATTAAAAGAGGAACACGTCCCATCGTTATGATGTTTTGTCAACGACTAAACTTGAAACGCGCCACTAAACAATCTTTATTATTTTGTCGTAAATGTTTGTCAAATTCTCGGTGTCTTTCTGTAGGTTAACTGTATTGTCATGCTTCTTTATGAAGAACATTTCAGCAATCTCTCTCTTTCTTACATGTTTCTCGTTATGTAAAATTGTCGGTGATTTCCAATCAAAGTTATGCCCAAAATCACATCTGTGTTTGCTCAAAACCGAATGATTAGACTCATGTAATTTAATATTGCTGGCATGTTCCTTCACTCTAGTGCATAAATGTCTTTTTGTTTGTCCAATGTATGATGCATTACAATTTTCACAGTTAATCTTGTAAACTACATTCGTTTTAATATCATTAGTTATTAAATCTTTACCTCGTTTTATCAGCCTATTCAACTTTTTGGCAAACTATAAACGACATTTATGTTAGCACTATTAAGTGACCTTTTAATACTGTCGCTAACGTCTTTAACGTATGGGAGTGGAATTACATAATTCTTATCTTGAGCCGAATTCACATTAACGTTATTATCTAAATCGTTACTCAAACTGTCGTTATTATCCGCATTGTGACCGTTACCATTCCTGTTGTTCTTCAGTACATTAATTCTTTTATTTACATACTTATTAATAATATGATCCGGAAAACAATTATTAATTAAAATGTTCTTTACAATCTCAATATTCGTATTATGAAATTGTTCGTTAGAAAGTAAAATTGCATGGTCTACTAAATTGTAAATCGTATTAATTTTGTACTTAATAGGATGACTCGAAAGAAAATTGATGTATCTGCCAGAACATGTAGGTTTCCTAAACTAATTAGTTGTCAATTTATTCCCATTGCGGATAACTGTAGAATTTAAAAAATTAATAGAAGAATTGGTCTCTATTTCATGTGTGAATTTTAAACGTTCATGATAATTATTAAATGTACTTAAAATTTCATTTATTTTAGAGTTAGGTAAAATAACAAAAATGTCGTCCACATATCTATAAAAAGTCTGAACTTTAAAACTTAAAGAATTTAAACAATTTGTTTCCAAGTCATCCATTACTAAGTCAGCTAGTATCGGTGATAGAGGGGATCCCATAGAGCTTCCATAAATTTGTTCATAATACTGCTCGTTAAATTGAAAACTCGTTGAGTGAATATGTCTGTAAAAAATCTTGAGATATATTAATTAGTTGTCAAGAATCGAAAATAATTTTGAAATGTGCAAATCAAACGGAAATATTGAATAATAATAGGGAATATGTTTAATGAAATCAATAATAACACTGTTAAGTGCATAGAAATGCATACACTACATCTTTGAAAATATTCTAACGTTTATTAGGAAGAATTTATTCATATTGCAAGTATTCGAATAAAAATATATACGTGTTAATAAATAAAACAAATATGCCGAATATTATATATTTATTTCGTCGAATATTATATATCATTAATTTTATTAACTTGTTCTTAAATTGTTAAGGTTTTTCGTCAGTGGCTAGATTACTCTCGAAACTAGGTTCAACGTTATAATCACGTTTTCTATTCGTTGTATCTTTCTGGATAACAATATCTTTGAAAGGAGGTCGCATTGAATTAACGTCGGAATCGTTGTCAACAATCTGCACAACTTTTTGGACTGTTGAAAACTCCATTACAACCGTCGATTTCGTATCATTTATTGTTTGAGAAGCTTCTGACATTTTCGATTTTTCGTCGAACTTTCTTACTTTCAGTCCGTCTCTAAAATATTATACAAATTTAATAAAATGACGCATAATAATATTAATAATAAAATAAAGAACAAAGGGAAATTGAGAAAAAAAATAATATAAAAAATCTAAATTTAACGTATAAGACGGGCAACAAGAGCCAAATCGCGGATGACAATGCGTTATCCTAACGAAACTAAATAATTTTTCGTTAGAATTAAAATACCGGTGCACAAGGCACCAAATTTTTACTTGGACACGGCCAAGATTTTAAATATGAAATAATCTCATATTTTGAGATTTAATTTCAATACCCCTTTAACCCCCCTACGGAAAATAAATAAAATG